ATTGTTTTGAGACATGGTCTTGCTATATGGTTAGATTTTTTAAAGATTTATTTCTTTTTTCTTTTTTGGTCTTTTTGAAGACAGGGTCTCCCTGTAGCCCCAGCTGTCCTGGAACTCACTATGTAGACCAGGCTGGCCTCGAACTCACAGAGATCCGCCTGCCTCTGCCAGGCGTGAGTCTCTTTTTTTAAGGGAGCCACTTAGATATAATGGCTTAATGGTCCAATTTAGATTTCTTGCTTTCACTCCTGTCCCCGGCCACTCACAGACGCTTTCATTCAAATCAGGTGTTCTCCCAGGCCCTCATTCCAACCCTTTGAAAGTCTGGTAACTGTTCTCAGTGTTCATTTCCTTGAAACTTTTACTTTCGGTTTCTAGACCTCATGCTTACCCTCCTTTCCGCTGCACTGAAAGGCTCTACTCCGCATTCACCCTCCTACTTCCTGGATCTTCCTGCTTGATGTACCTGAGTCCCACCATCTCAATGCACCCAAAGAGAAAATCTATCGACCTCCCCTAGAAACATGGGCTGCTATCTTGCTCAACAACCCACCATCCAATCACAGATCTAAGGCAGAAAGCTGAGGCTATTATTTTAGGTCCTCCTAAATGCTCCCAGGTCCTGATCTCTTGGCTTCCTTAATAGTTAGACCTCTCAGTTCTGCCCCAGTCCACTGCTATCTGATGCCGGGATGGTGTATATTTTTTGAGGATTTCCCCACATCTCTCTCATCCTTTGTTAATCATTTTTGTTTTGTTCTTTAGACACAGTGTCATGTAGCCCAGGCTGGCAACTTGATGTGTAGCAGAGGATAGTACTTCCCAAATGCTTTTGTGTGTGTGTGTGTCATTTTGAGACGGGATCTCCCTGTATCCCCAGCTGACCTGGAACTCACTAACTCACTATATAGACCAGGCTGGTCTTGAACTCACAGAAATCCATCTGCCTCTGCCTCCCAAGTGCTGGGATTAAAATGCCTGGCTGCTTTCACCCTTTTAAATCATAGGAACCCCTCTTTCCTCCAAGAATCTTGCCTCAGCCCCCTTTCCCCTACTCTATAAGCAAGAACTTCTCATTACTGTTTAAATGGAGGTCCCGAGAAATGCATAGCCCAAGTCCTGGGTCCTTCCCACCCTTCATGGTACTGGGAGGGAAGTAGAGCTCCCTTTTTTCTCATCTTTCCTCTTTCAGGTGGGAAGATTTTGCTGAGCTAGCTTTCTTTCTTTCCCAGTGTTCCTTATGGAAGCACTCTACCACTGAGCCACCCCCCAACATCTCACTAGGGGATTCTAGGCAAATACTCTACCCCTGAGCTATGCCCCCAGCTCCTCACTAAGGGATTCTAAGCACCCACTCTGCCACTGAGCCACACCCCAGCCCCCCAGGTGTACTTTCGGTGAAGCAGATGATCCAAACAATAGGTCTTTTTGTTTGCCATCTCCAAATGTGAAATCACAGTATGGAATGTACTGTTTCACCCAGTACATTGGTCATTCCAAACAGACAGAGCAAGGCTGTGGATTCAAGCTCCAAGCACAAACCAACAGGGATATCCTGAAGAAAAAAGTCCCGGCCATTTCCCACTCACCTTCTCCAGCTCTATCTGCCGAAATTCCTCTGGCCATCTGTCTAAATGAGCCTTAGCTGTAGTCTCTGGTCAGTTCAGTTCCCAAGTTCCCCTAAGTGACTCCCCACTAGTAAGCACCAAGCTCAGTGTATACCCCTTTCTCCTTACTGAACCTGTATGCTGCTCTAAGCTGCTGGTTGTGAGGGTCATCTCCAGTAGGGGAGGTGGTTGCCTGTGGGGTGCTCAGGACAAGGAGGCTCCAACGACTGCAAAAACAAAAGGCTTTTATTGAAAAATATGAAATGGCCCGTTTTATGGCTGCTGGTCCCTGCCCACAGTGAGCCTTCCTGCTGTGGTGCAGAATGGGGCTGGCAAGTAGTTGCCCTGGCCACCCCAGCCCTGAACTTGGGAAGGGCCAGGTTTCTCTGTCCACAAGGGTTGGACTGATCCTGGCCTGACAAGTCAGTTGGCAGCTGGGGAACGGGGCTGGTGGGAGGAGGACGCCAGGCCATCTGACTTCTTCCAGTCTAACAAGCCAGCCTCGTGGCATGTGGCACCATCTAGAAGGCAGGTGGTCTCCCATGCTAGACTGCAGGCAGGCTGGACTGGTGGGATGCTGAATGCTGGTGGTGGTGGTGATGCTGGTAGTGGTGGGCTCTGCGTGCACCTGGCCTCTCAAACGTAGTCCTTGCGGTCATAGGCGGTGCCTGTGCCGGTGCCAGGCCCAGTGGATCTCGGTGCAGAGTACAGGATCTTGGTGGGAGCGTACTTCTCTCGGGGTGGGCAGGAACAGCAAAGCAACGCGCCCCCTAGCAGCTGCAAAGCCGCAGCTGCCCAGCCTACATACAGCCCAGCTCCCATCTCTCGTTTCTGGGGCTCAGGCACCAGGGGGTTATAAAAATCCCTGATGATGGTGTTGGCTGACCAGGACACTGGCACTAAGGTGAGCAGAGCGGCCAACAGGAAGAGGACGCCCGCCACGATGGTGATCTTGGCCTTGGCCGTCTCGTCTTGCACGCAGTTGGTGCACTGGGCGCCCACGAGTGCCACAAGAAGCCCGAAGGCGGCCAGCAAAATGGATACGATAATGAGGGCTCGGGCGGCCTGCAGGTCCTGAGGCAGGGCCAGCAGCGAGTCGTACATCTTGCATTGCATCTGGCCGGTGCTCTGCACCACGCAGTTCATCCACAGGCCCTCCCAGGTGATCTGCGCGGTGATGATGCTGCTGCCGATGAAGGCTGACACCCGCCACATCGGCAGGGCGCAGCACAAGATGCTGCACAGCCAGCCCAACACGGCCAGCGACGTGCCGGCGATCTCCAGGCCCATGGACATGGCTTCTGGACTCGAACCGGCTCGGCCGGGCAGCTCCGGATGCTGAGAGATGAGGGGCCGAGACTGCTGGGCTTGGAAACCTACTGAGGAACGACGAACGGCTGACAGTCGCAGGGACCGAAGGACGGACGGCAAAGGACGGCGCGCGCTAACGGCTCCTCTCCGCGCGCTCTCACCGAGGCTGCCGCTGCACCTGCCTGTGGCTTTGGAGGCTGGCTTCCTAGACTGGCTTGGCTTTGGCTAGGGCGGGTTGGACTAAGGTGCTCAGAGGAGGGGATAGGGCGGAGCTCCTTCTCTTGGGCCTGGGGACAGTGACGTGGCCCCCCTTCCCTCCTCCCACCTTCAACCTGGGAGGAAAGCTTGAGCCCTGAGCCCAGAGCACCAGGGTGGGGGAAATGCTAAGGGAGGGCGGGGCCGGCGGTGCTCCCTCCCTCCTTCCCTCTCTTCTTGCTCCTTGTCCCCTAAGGCTCGGAAACGAATTCTCTAGGGACATACCAAAGGGGAGGAGTGCTTGGGGGATTTGAAGTGCAAATCACCAGTTGTAACCTGCTTGATTCTCTCCCGGCCCCCAACAACCTCGCGACCTCTCGCTTGGGATGGGCACACAGCCAACTCCCTAGGACAACCAGCCCTGGGAGAACCTATGGGGGCGTGGCTGCGGCTGTTTGCTGGAGTAGGTAGCTGGAATTGCAGCACCTGTTCTAGGTAAGTCCCTCTTCTCAGGCGAGCACACTGGCCTTGCACAGGCTCTGCCTGACACAGGCTGATGGAAGACCTGTCCTCAGAAGCCAAGGACTACCTGAACAGGACACAGCAGAAGGTCCCTCAAGACTGGTGCTGAGTTCAGATTCTCATCCAGCCCCTTCAGGTTGCCTTGGCTGGTGGCAGACCTAGAGTGTTTAGCTGAGTCGTGGGTCCCGTCCTGTCCGTGTGTGTGTGTGTGTGTGTGTGTGTGTGTGTGTGTGTCCCGCCCATTCCAATTGAAGCTCCCTTTCACGAGGTCCTGTTGGCCCTCCCTTTGAAAGAGAAAGGAACAAAGGAAGAAGGGAGGGAGGGAGGAAAGAAGGGAGGGAGAGATGGAGGGAGGGAAAAAGAAAGAAAAAAGTTCAGACAAGTGTGTTAGCACATGCTTGTAATCCCAACACTTGGGAGGTTGAGGCAGGAGGATGGCCATGAGCTTGAGACCAGCCTGGGCTACTAAATGAGTTCCAGGCTAGCACTGGGTTACAGAGTGAAACTCTCTATCTCAAAACAAAAACAAAACACAAAAAAGCCCTGTGTCCTGTTTTATACCCATAATCCTGGCACTTGAGAAGTGGAGGCAGGGGAATCAGGAGGCCAAGATCATCTTGGCAAGTCTGAGGTGGTGGCACACAGCTTTAACCCCAGCACTCAGAAGGCAGAGGCAGGTGAGTTGAAGGCCAGCCTGGTCCACATAGTTAGTTCCAAGCCAGCTGAGGCTACAAAGTGTGAGACTGTCTCAGCACTTGGGAGGCAGAGGCAGGCGGATCTTTGTGAGTTTGAGGCCAGCCTGGTCTACATAGTGAGTTCCAGGACAGCTGGGGCTACAGGGAGACCCTGTCTCAAAAAGACCAAAAAAACCCCAAAAACCCAAAACCAACTAACCAACTAAACAACCCAAAAAACAAACAATAACCATCTTGGCTATATATGAAGTTCACGGCCAGCCTGGGCCACTTGAAACCCTGGTACAAACAAACACCGAAAAGCCAGACATACCACTCCTTCCTGCCTCTGGAAGCTCACAGCCTGTCAAAGTTGGTGGTGGAACCACCAGCTGCTCACAGAGGCCTCCTCTCCACTCTTCCCCTCACTGCAGCTAGGGACTGACCCCTCTGGTTTTGTTCCTGTGTTCTCCCACCTCAAGGGCCCGTGCTTGCTGTCCTCTCTTTGGGGGACTGTCCTGCAGATGCCTGTGTGGCTTGATCTTTTCCCAGCACCTTCAGTCTTGATGCCCCATGGGAGGTCTTCGCGGTTCACTTAATTGAAAATCGAAGCTTCTGGGCCTGGGAATGAGGGTCTGTCAATAGCAAACGCTTGCCCAGTATGCACAAAGCCCTGTGTTCAAACCCAATACTGAATAAATCCCGGGTGATGGTGTGTGTCAGTAATCACAACCCTTGGGAGGATCAGATGTTCAAGATGATCCCCAGCTACGTAGTAAGTTCAAGGTCAGTGTGAGCTACATGAGCCCTTGTCTAAGAACAGCCAGCATGGTGGCACAGGCCTTTAGTCCCAACACTTGGGACTTGTCTCAAAAAGACTGAAAAAAAAAAAAAAATAAAACCTTGAAAATTAAAACAAACAAACAAAATCTCAGCTTCTTACCCCACAATGCCCTGTCTCTCTTCTTCATTCATATTTCCTGTTTTCTTTAGTATTTGACAACATCTGGCATTATCTTTCCCCTTTCCTTTCCTCCCCTCCCTCCCTCCCTTCTTGAACTCTTCCTTCTTTCCTTTCTTCCCTTCTTACTCCATAGCTCCTTTTCTTCCTCTTCTTCTCCTTCTTTTTTCTCTCTGTCTCTGTCTGTCTCTCTGTCAGAGAATCTCACTCTGACAGGACCTCACTGCATAGCCCAGGGTGGCCTTAAACTCAAGATCATTTGGCCCCAGCTTCCTAAGTGGTAAGACTCTTGGTGCGCACCACTTACCACTCTACTTGGTTCATTTATTTCTAATCGCCTTGTTTCTTTGTCTCTGCTCTGGTCTGTCAGCTCCACCAGGACATCAGAACGTTCCATGACCTGCAAGAATTTTTGCCCATTTCATTCACTACCACACCCCCATCTCTTGGGTGCACAGAGGTAATTTATTGACTTGAACAAAGAAAAGATCACTTTCTCTTGTTCAAGCAGCATGCCTTGCCAGAGCTCTCCTGATAAAAGGCTAAGGATGGGGTGCTGCTGTGCTACCAGGCACCCCAGAGCTTTGAATTAATGAGAAACTTAGGAATTGTTGGGGCTGGTGAGCTGGCTTAGGGAATAAAGGAGCTTGCTGCCAAGCCTGAGGACCTGAGTTCAATCCCTGGGTCCTACATGGTAGACAAAGAGAACTGACTTCTGTAAGACATAAGCCTTTTTGAGTTGGGTCTAGAGTTTTTTGTTGGTTTGTTTTGTTTTTAGGGTGCTCCCATCCCTCAACCACAAGTACTCAGACTGCACCCTCTTCCCTAAGAGCCCATGCCCTAGGATGATAGAAGATTCAAACAAACAGTCCCAGAGGCCCATGGAAACCAGAGTTCTGTTTCTTGTCAGGGCAAAGGTCTTAGGCTCGGCCTGATGGGCAGGGCTGGGAGTGCCAGGCCATAGGGCCCAGCTGGTATTGGGTGGGGGCTGTTCTGGAAGGAGTTTGTTAAGCCCCAGTCCTCTTTAATGGAGTGTTGGTGGTCACAGCTTCCTGATTAGTGGGTATGACTTTGGATCAGAAAAACAAAGGCAAAGGGGTCTGGGTAAATGGGTCAGTCGGGAAAGTGATTGCCACATAAGCATGAGGACCTGAGTTTGAGTCCCCAGAATACACATAAAGAAACTAATCATGACAACGCCCATATGTAATCCCAGCTCTGGCGGGGCAGGGCCAGGAGGATCCTTGGGAGTGGGTTGCCAGCCAGCCTAGCCAAATAGATGAGTTCCAGGTTGAGTGAGAGACCCTGCCTCAGAAAATAAGATGGAGGGCCTGGTGTGGTAGAGGGATTCCCCTTTAATCTCAGCACTCAGGAGGCAGAGGTAGGTGGATCTTTGTGAGATTGAGGCCAGCCTGGTCAACATAGCAAATTCTAGGCCAGGTGGGGCTACAGGGAAATCCTGTCTCAAAGAAAAGGAAAGAAAGAAAAGCTTGAAATTCACCACCCCCAACAATATGTCTGAAGTATAAGCTTTTGGCTACAGAGCAGGTCCCTCTGATTGCCAGTTGTACCGTGCGTGGTTGGACACTGTGAACTTTGCCTCTTGTTTGTTTTCGAGGCTGGGGGAAGAAATGCTGACTTTTCCAACCTCAGTTTCTTCCATTGTAAATTGAGGAAAAAACAATGTCCCAGTGACTCATATCTCAGGACTGTGGGGAGAATGTCTGCCATGTTATCTGTCCTGTAAAACAGAAAAGAGTCAGGGCAGGACAGGCAATCATGTCTGTGTCCTCAAATCTGCCCTTGCTGCCCCTGACTTCACTCTCCTGGGTCAGGAGACCTTAGTTAAGTCCTGTGTCTGCCTTGAGTGCCAGTTTCCCTGTCCCTAGAAGGGGCTGTTCTGAGTCTCAGGACAAGGGGGATGGGCTGGAAGAGCTTATTTTTGAGATGGACCTGCTGGGCAGGACTGCTCAGAGGCAAGCAGGACAGAGTTTTTATGCCCAGGGGCCAAACTTCAGGGACTTCACAAATAAGACTTTGGCTTTGGCGAAACAGAGCTCCAATCAGCTTTGAGTTCAATATCTATCACGGGTCTTATAACTCAGTAATAGAAAGACAAATGGCCCAATTGAAAAAATGTGAGAAGGAGATCAAAACCTCAGTCCAGGTAGGACTTTTATCAAAAAGGCAGAAGGTAGGCCGGGTGTGGTGGTGCACACCTTTAGTTCCAGCACTTGGAAGGCAAAGGCTGACAGATCTCTGTGAGTTCAAGGCCAGCCTGGTCTACATATCGAGTTCCAGTTCAACTGGGGCTATAGGGAGACCCTGTCTTAAAAAAAAAAAACACAGAAGATAAGGAATGCTCAGGTGGAGGAGGGGAGCTTTGCCTGTTGCTGATGACAATGTATGATAGTACAGCCATGATGGAAAATATAGCAGTTCCTCAAATAAGTTAAAAGAGGGACTGGCAAGATGGCTCAGAGGCTAAAGGAGCTTGCCACCAAGCCTGATGACCTGAGTTCAAGTCCTAGGACTCACATGGTGGGAAGAGAGAACTGACTTCAGCAAATTGTGCTCTGACTTCTACATGTGCTCTGTGGCATGTGTGTACACACATATATACTCTCTTACTCACGGTAAAAGAAAAATTAAAAAGACAATTATCAAAAGTCCAGCTATCCCATTACTAGGTGTATGTCACCGTGAGGGGTGAGAAGAAGCTGCACTCTGCCACCCTGAGCAGCCTGAAAAATTCATTTAGACCAAGTGAGGTGGCACAAAAAATCCCAGCACTCCAGAGACAGAGGCAGGCAGATCTCTGTGAAATTGAGGCCAGCCTGGTCTACATAGAGAGTTTTACACCAGCTGGGGCTGCGGGGAGTT